ACAGGTTCTCATTAGCACCAGTTTTTGCTAAATGAGTAACTGATGGTTAATTATATAAACTTTTAAATTTAAATGTTAAAAACGTAATTTTAAATAAATATTGAGTTATTTTTGTCAGAAGCCCCCAACTTCCATTTGCCTAAAACATATATATTCTATATAACATGAAATACAAATATTACACATTGGTCCCAATATTTACAAATTGCTAAATACAAAAGCAACTACAAACTTTTTGCTCACTACATGCACATATTCAGCTTCCCAAAATCCACATATGTAAAGTATTAACAATTCATTCACAACTTTCTCTTCCCTTTTACCTTCTACATGTACCCAACATGTAATGCATATTTTTTAAAATAAAACGATGGTTAAACCATAAGGTGTAGTGAGTAATTATTTGATTGCTATTATAGAGTGGAAATCACCAGAACATTTTTGGAAGGCTAATGATTAAAAAGATAATATGCAATTATCATTTAATTTCAAACTTTCATTTATCGCATCATATAGATGAGACAACTCCATTTCATCGCATCAAACTCATAAGATACCAAAACTTGTCACATAGAATATATAATACCCCAACTTGTAGCATGATTCAGATGCGATAACAACTTTTGTCGCATCTGACAGATGCGATAATCCCTTTCCTCGCATCAGCCAGATGCGATAACACTAACTTGTTGCATCCTAAGGATGCGATAAACACAACTCCTTGCATCATTCATATGCGATATCTTCTGTTTGTCGGACCATAAAGATGCGATAGACACAACATTTTGATTCTAATCCCAACCTTATCTCATCAAGTACATGCGATAAAATTAATTCCGTCACATTATAAAAATGTGATATCAATAATCTCATGATCAAAATATCATCATTTCCATAAATTGGTTATGTCACCCTTATCACAGTATACTCAACTCCTGATTATGCATCCCTTATTACAAAATATACACAGTTCCTGATTTTGTCACCCTTATTACCAAATATACTCAACTCCTGATTANTACTCAACTCCTGATTATGCATCCCTTATTACAAAATATACACAGTTCCTGATTTTGTCACCCTTATTACCAAATATACTCAACTCCTGATTATGTCACCCTTATTATAAATATACCCAATTCATGATTATGCCTCTCTTTTTACAATCAGTTGATAATAATATATCAAAAATCAAAATCATGCTAAAAATAACATATAATCAGTTTAAAACATCTCATGTATGAAACCATACAAATTCTTATTAAAGCAAGTCAAATGATGCTTTCAAAATAGAAATTCCTCTTGAAATCACAAAAAGATGAAGACTTTAAAACAACAACAATTAGCAGATAAAATAACGAAAGCAGTTTCTTCTTCTTCTTCTTCTTCTTCTGTTTTTGTTTACTTCGAACCCAGGAAACCAGAACCACACCAACTTTCTCATCTTATTTCAATAATAATAGAAAGAGATAAAATTAACACACACAAATATATATATATATATATATAGAGAGAGAGAGAGAGAGAGAGAGAGAGAGAGAGAGACTTAATCAAATGAGAACTGATTAGTTTGTGGTAACTGTGAGATCCAATCTCAACCACAAATCAATGGATAAATTAAGAAATTAATAATTATGGTAGTTTGAGTTAAAATTATAATTAGAGGGCATTTTAGGTATTTTTTAAAAACTCCTCTCTCCGACCTCCAATCTCCGGCCTCCGGTGAACAAAAATCCGGCAGATACCAAGTAATCACAAAGATACACAATGTGATATACAGTGGTACTCAAATGGTATCACACTATATCACAATGGGTATCACATTGTGTATCTTTCTAATTACTTGGTACCTGCCGGATTTTTGTTCACCGGAGGTCGGAGATTGGAGGTCGGAGAGAGAAGAGATGAGAAAGAAGTTTTTAAAATACCTAAATTGCCCTCTAATTATGATTTTAACTCAAACTATCATAATTATTAATTTCCTAATTTATCCGTTGATTTGTGGTTAAGATTGGATCTCACAGTTACCACAAACTAATCAGTTCTCTTTTGAATGAGCTCCCTATGTATGTATGTATGTATGTATGTATGTATGTATGTATGTATGTATGTATGTATGTGTGTGTGTGTGTGAGAGAGAGAGAAGAATGAGACAGTGAAGTTAATGGATATTTTAAACAAAATTTTAAAATACACCCCTCAATTTTAAAAACAACTCTCAAACTTTTATTCAATCAACCGTTATCACATAATAAGTCATATTGTGCGAATAAGCCACAAATAAACAATCCAAAAGAGTTATGCGAATAAACCATATAGCCCATTATCTGTGTAGTTTAGATAGTCTAGTTTAGTATAAATTACCGTTAGTTAGCATGGTCGGTTAGTTAGTTTACTTTCTTTTATTTTTGTTATTCATTAATTTTCTTATTTTAGAAACCATGGAAATCCAAAGTGGTTTGCATCACTAATTTGTAATTTGGAGTCGGCTTGTACTCGATCATCACTTTTTATATGTTACGACACCATATACTTGTAGTTAATTTAAGACAAATCACAAACAAATTGATAGCACTTGATGATTTATGATATGGCGTTTTCGTCATTTTATTCGAATTACAATCAAAATATTGCTAAATCACTAATGTGATTACTCTTTAACATTACATACCTTCTCATACTGTATACTCATCTCACACACATTTTAATTCGGTCAAACATAATTGTTTCTAATTTTAAAATTACACTTTACACCTTTATACTTATTTTATAACCTTTACTTTTCATTTTTTATTTTACATCATTATAACATTGACATACATAATAATATATTAAATACGTTAAAGAAAAACGTTTCTTTTAACAAATTACATCATTATAACTGTCTCATCAATACCTTTACAATGAGTCTAATTTTGAATATTTTTATCATCTAATCATATTATTATATATTATAAAACCAAGAAATTATTTTTAGCACTTAGGCTTTATATCCTTATACTCATTTATTTAGTTTATTTTATATATTTTTCTTTTTTCTTTTTACATCCTTGTCTTATTAATATACATAATCATATATTAAATAAAATATGTTAAAAGTACTTTTTTTATTACAAATTACATTATTATAACCATCTCGTAAATACCTTTAAAATAAACTCAATATTGAATATTTTTGGATTTAATCACTATTAAATATCATAAATACTACGGAATTATTTTTAATACTTACAGTTGGTACGAAATTATTAGAAAAAATATATATTGATTGATGATTTTAAAATTGTTACACACAATATGACTAAGACAAAGTTTATCAATCGCATATATCTTAATAAATTAATAATTTTTTAAAAATTGTTAAAAAGTTTTTAGAGTTGTTATACAACCCATTGAATATTTCAAAAGGGTGTGATTGCATAACTTCAACACTGAATGAGTATGCCCGAAATAGTAATCTATACTATATTATAAAGCATTTGGCTAATATCTTAAAAACAACTTTTTAAGCATTATGTACTGCTATATAAGGCTTAATTATTTAATTTTCAAGTTTACAAGTTTCCAATGCTTTAGTACAACTTATAAAACACGTATCTCCGCAATCCCTTCATTCATATCCTTAAAACACTTATCTCCTCAGTTCCTCCATTCATATCCTTCTCTATTCGATTTCAAATAGATTCATCCATATTCTTCTCTATTTCAATTTCAAACAGATACATATATTTAAATAACCTCTTTGTCCATACTGTTCAATCAATTTCAACTGCTCAACCGATTTAGATGGAGATACTTCACATCCTCTACTCGTATATAGTTGAAGCAAGTTATCTAAATCACTTGTTTTGTTCTTCATAATACAAGCAGAGTCCAATTTTCCAAGGTTTATTTTCTTCACCATATCGTTCAATTTCTAGGGTTTCTCTATGGCTTATTTCTTATTTTTGCAACCTATTTCTAATTACTGATTATGTGTGTGAGTTTATATTGTCATTGCTAATGTGAGTAAATTTGACCGTTTTTTGTTGTTGGATTTATCTATTGGATTATCGGTATAAGTTTTGCTCTTCTTAGGAACTGTATGCATTTGAACGAATGTTGCTAACTGTAGTTGAAAGTACTTGTGATGCTTGATGTTGTACTCGATTGCAGCAACATCTCTCCATGTGCTCTCATTCTAATTAATTGCTTCAAGTTACAACGTGATACTATACGTTCTAAGTATGCAAACATGTTCAACATATTTACCACTGGTTATAGAGTCACCGTCATCCTCTCAACATGGGGCTTTTAAACACTCGGCCGATACGTTAATTGTAACCATTATGTAAGATTGGCATTAACAAGAGAGTAGCTGATGCCCACAATTAAGCTGAAAATGGATACATTAGAGATCTCTCGAGGTAACTACATGGACTACCCCATATCAATATCGATTAAACGTATAAAAAGAACATTTAGATTGCAATAGTACTCGTGAATTATTGATTTGAATGATTGATAATATCACAAATGTTATTTTATATCTAATAACGTTTTTTATTTTATAAAATACTGAATAATCTAAATAATAATCATAAATATTATTTTTATTTTTTTAACCTTAAAAATATAATTAAATTAATACAATATTAATAAAAAAATAATTAATTTTAATTTGTTTTGACCTTAAAAATATAATTAAATTAATACAATATTAATAAAAAAATAATTAATTTTAATTTGTTTTGACCTTAAAAATATAATTAAATTTAATAGGTTATCTGATTTTTACTTACATTCATAATGAACATATATTTCAGTAGTATTAATCTTTTATGATCATATCAATCAGTTCTCTTTCAATTAAAACACAATATTACAAATCTAACTAATTAGCATATAAAAATCAATTCATTTGATGTGTTTTAATTTTTATTCAAGTCTAGAAATAATAAAAACTCAATAACCTTTAAATTAACATAAAAAATTACGATAAAAAACTATGAAACTAGTAAAAACGGACACTCTAAAAATCGTGATGAAAATATATAAAAACACTCAAAATAATTTTATAAAAATATGGTTTTTTATTAATACGCTAACTATTTTTCATTTTTATTTCCATTAAAAGATGCAACCCCTTCGACTCGTCGGCTTTGGCTTTGATGGTTGATTGATGAACCAACATCCTGGTGCGGATTCTTCAGACCTACATGCGTTAGAATACCTGACATTTAAATTTTTAAAATTAAACAAAATAAAATCATGCAATTTAATGTATCATGCAATTTAATGTATAAGTTTACTTTATATTTTATGCTTTTTTGAATATTAAAAAAAATATTCTCACTTGAAAAATTATGAGTTACTACTAATATTTGACATATATTTATATAAATTATTGCATTTGTAAGTAATTTTAGTATAAAAAATATCACAATTAAAAAAAATCTACTTTCTATGTTTCGTTAGTCAAGTGAAGACTAGTCACATGTAAAAGTATGATAACATATATGGGTAATTTAAATTGTGAGAAGGCAAGAAGTTTCAAGATTATATATGATTACATGTGATAATATGCTTAATCATATATGATTAAACACATGTCGCATTGATCAGGGGTACCTTTGGTCGCGCTCATCAAGTCACATGTATCTCTTTTGGATGTATTTAATTATATATGATTAAGCGTACTTATCACATGTAAGCATATATGATTTTGGAACTTCTCATCTTCTCGTAAATTGGTCAACTTTTCGCATAATCCTCTCTTATACATATATTATTTATTTGTACTAAACATGAATATTGTTCATATACTTGACAACAAATTGAATTTATATGAAAAACATACCTAGATTTGGTGTCCATAGGCATATATTTATCGTTACTCTTATTGCTTGATCGGGTGCTAAAACTGTTCTTATCCGCAGACATCATTGACGAGCTTCGCGATTTTTTCGTACCCAATGAAACCGGGATGAACATCTTTAGCATAAAAACTCCAGTATCCAAGCTAACACTTCTTGAAATTATACTTTTTTTCCGAATCGTCTTCTTTCCCTTGAAACTTGTTTGCTTAACCACAGGTTGTACCCTTTCAAGATCATCTACAACAATATCTTTTAACGATAGTTCTTGACAAGACTCAGATAGGTTGTTCATCATTTCCATGATCTTATTCCGTCGCTCGTTTGTGGGCGATGAGCAATTGTAACCGGAATAAACGGGGTTTGGCGTAAAAGATGGCGAGAACACAAAAGAGTCTTCGTGTTCCATGGGGGTTTTATTATAGTTGATATCTGAGATGTCACAAAACGTAAACTCCGTTGCAGATGTGCAACGAAGTTTTGATAGAGAGGGAGAATGAAGAGAAGACATGTTGGCATGCCTTTGTTGAAGCGGAATCATATCATTGATTGTGAGAAGGAAATATGGAGAAATGGATATATATATATATATATATATACATATATATATATATATATATATATATATATATATATATATATATATAAATGAGAAGAGAGTGGGATGGAGACGACAATTGGGTTTCTTTTGTTTGGTTCTTGATTTATGTATTGGTCAACGTCAACAACACTATACATTCACTTTAGATTTTAACTCTTTTTTGACCATTACTTATCAAAAGTATTTTATGTAGAACATAAGTTCTTAATTATTAAGGATCATATGAAGAAAATTCAGACATGTTTGTCGATTATAAAGCTATCTAATTTTTATAGTTATTAAAAAAACTGTATTTTTGAATTGTTATAAGTTAGTACTGGGATTATTTCAGTAAACTCCAAAGCTATTTTTAGTTACAGACCCTTTCAGTTCATTGATTACCATATTGCTTTGAAGGTTGGAAACCTTCTCTCACTCAGTTCACCTCCCCTGTAGGTAAAGCGGCAAACTTTTCCGTAATATTCGCCATTTATGTTCTTGTATATTTAATCTACCACTCATATATATATATATATATATATATATATATATATATATATATATATATATTATTGACATTGAAAAATAACATTATCGAACATATATAAATCAATGTCGACATTCTTACCTGTAAGATTTGGTTCATAATGTTAGAGGCTATGACATGTCATAAAGTTCCATTCAAAATGAAATTTTATCATACAAATATAAAAACAAGCGAACCATGACATGCCAAAACGTTAATGTGGCGTTTGTGTCATGAAAGCTATAACAGTATGTATTTTTAAAGTACTAGATATTGTGGTAGGTATGAAAGACTCCAATTTAGAAACTTAAAATCATGGTCAAAGAAGGAAAAGTAAAGTCGTCGTAGTTTTCTTTCCATTAACCATCAAGAGGTACATGGGGAACTAAGTTTGTGTTAATTTTTTATCCATACAGTTTGTATTTTATTCATGCTAGATTTGTCGTATTTTATTATCATTTATGTCGATAATTTTTTTTTTTTGATTAACCTGGATATCCGCTATGCGAGCCGACTAATCCTAGGACGACCACCTGCTTTGCAGATAGTCCGGAGTCACCGCATTTGAGGAGATTTTTATTTCTCCTTAGATTTGAACCTGAGACCTCCTGATACTTTTGCAAATAATTTTAAATCTACTTAGATTCAGATGATTAATTAGAAGCTTGAAACTAATTGCAAAATAAAAGGAGAAAGTGGATCCAAAGAACTTTTTGGACGCAAAAGTCAAGCATACGAGTTGTAGGTCCAAGTGAAATAAAATTTTCAAATATGGCGTATTTTAAAAGTGCTAATTTTTTATGATTTCAAGACCCGTTATTTTGATTGTTTATTTAATTAGAAACAGTCAATGAATATTTAAAAAAGATCCAATATCATACCATAGAAAAAACATTACAAATAAAACTCGTATAACTCTCATTCGACGTCTAATGATCGTCTCAATAACACATTTTTGCAATTCTAAGATTCTCCATATATTACGTTTATAGTCCGAAAAACTGAACTTCACGTAAAGAGTTCATTGAGTGTTTTATGAAACGAGGTTTAATCAGTAACTATTCTTTTTAATCAAGGTATCTATATGACTTTGTAAAGACCTTTCTTCCTTTCTCTAACGTTATAACTAGACTATTTATAACCACCAACTAGTTTAATGTCACAGAGGTTCTAAAATTCCCGTTCTAAGAGAAAATTACATGTTGCAAGCTTCAAACCTGTCGTGCCATGGGTAAACATTGACTTGGTATTACATGTCTACATTTATTGAATATGTGTCAAATGACATCGATTTTATAAATGTAAATATTTTTCAATAAAAAATTATGATTTCCCACTCTCTCTCTATCGAGGTTGGTCCCCGTACTGTAGTCCCTTCTTCACCATCAATGATGAGAAAACTCATTCAATTTCCCTTTCTTCTAGGTGGGATATGGGTCCTGCCGGAATACGCTACCGCCACCGTCTCTCTCTTCCTACTCCTTCCGCCCGTGAAAGAAACTAGAGGACGTTGTTGCACATATCCCCATCCTACGCCGTTCTCCATTCTCTCTTCACAATCACAATAACTTCATCAACAATTTCCTTTATTTTCTCCAGATTTTATGATTCGGGTTTGAATCATAAACCGGTGTTTGTCCAAATTGACGATTTTGATTTTGATTTTGTGGATTCCCAAGTATTGATGATGCAGGTTTTCGACTAGAAAAGATAAATGAGTTTTAGACATCATAATATACAACATATTTATATATGATATACATCTGGTAATGTAGTAAAATAAATCGACAGCTCAACATTGTTTCGTTCCTGTAATATTAATATAAAAAAACCTCGAATTTAAATTATTAAATTATTTTTGGCGTGGTTTTGGGGTAATTTGGAATAATCCAATTTTGAAAATGGTTGACGTGGAACTTTGACTACTTTGGGAGGAGTCAACTTGCCGTCCAAAACGGGAGAGGCTTTAACATCTGTCAAATCAATATGGACTTACAGAAACATTGTAGATTTGAAGGACATCCTGAAAACAATCTTCAAGTGTAAAGTGGCATAAGACAGGGGATTACCTGTGTTTTGTTGGACGGTTTACAATATTTTTACAATCCAACTTAATTACGGCGGTTTGGAAAAATCTCAACCCAATCCATTCAAAAGTATAACTCAACGAGTTGGGTTGATGGGTTAGTAGTTACATAAACTTGACGAATGAAATAATTCATAAAACTTAAGTTTATAGACCATATTATATAGCGTCCTATCTAAAAAGGTTTATAGGACGTTTTTGGACGTTTCAACAAGTGTTTTAGAATGACCTATAAGTAAAATGTCGTATTAGTTAATTTATAGAAACATTCTAAGAAGTGTTCCGTAAACTCATCTATTTATAGGAAATCTATGCTCATATGACACTTTTTCAAGTCGTGTCGTATAAAATAACTTTTACGACACTTTAACATAGAATTTGTTAAGATGCCCAAAATCATCCTATAAACATACTGTAACTCTTTTCTTCCTATAAAATATCATATTAGGACGCTTAGACATTTTAGGCATCCTATAAGATATAATGTTGCAATGAAATGCTATAACTGAGCATTTTCTTTCCACTAACGTACATCATAAAATAACAGGGTATTTAGATTGATTGATTCATCAACCAAATATCTGTCAATATCATTCATATTCTCCGACATATCAATTTGTTGTTGCTGTAAAAAAGATTTCAATAATTTAATACTTATTAATTAGATTATTTGTCATCATTCTTTGATCGTGAATCTCTTTCAGTAACCTATACATTTAGCTAAAATGAAATACAAACATAAAATCAATGAAAATTATATAAAATTTATACATTATTAATACTTATATATATATATATATATATATAATAAACATATATATATATATATATATATATATATATAATTTTATAAAAATTATATATTAACGGCGGGTTGGACGGGTTGAGCTAGGCCCAACCCAGTTTCAACCCTCCTAATTGGCGGGTTAGCGGTTTGACGGTTAGACGCGTTGAGTTTAATTGGGTTGTTAGCGGGTTGGATTAGGTTGGGCGGGTTTTACGGCTTGACAGTTTTTTGTACACCCCTAGTATAAGACCATTGTTTACCATGAGGGATAAGGAACAACTAACCCATTTGGTGTTGTATTCTCTATTGTTTCCATCTTGTAGGTCTCATTTACATTATGTCTGCAGAAATGAAGCTGACTCATCAAACAGAGAAGAGAAAATAGAGAATAGGTACAAACAAATGGAACCTTCCAGTGAACCCATTGTTGATCAAGGATACTCTTTTACCATGCATAAGATGGCTGTATATTATGCATCACTTCTGAAGCCCTAAATGATCAAGTACCTCATAGTAAATGGTGTCATTAAATTAGCATGTCTTAAGACTTAAAAAATGTCATTAGAAAAGAAGCCTGAAAACCCAATTAAGGTTTTTTAGAAGGGTGTCTCAAGCTATAACTAGACTAATCCCGGCAAATTGTGACTGCAAAAAATCAGTCATGATAAACTCAATAGCCACAATTGTCTGGAATCGAATCCTAGGTAGATGGGATATTCCACCACATCCCCAGATCAATATGTGCATAAAGAAGAACAAAACGAATTGACCGACATCTTATATCATTTCTTTTGGTAAGATTAATCATTTAACTCCGCAAGGAGTGTGGAGTCAAGAGAGGAGAGAATTTGGGGGAAAACTGGGGATTTTATATGGCCAATGGTAATCATGTAAGCCGCGGTGTCATGTTTATTATATGAGTTTATTAGAAAAAGGAAACGACATAAATAATCATTTATCTGATTAAATTTATGTCTTAGTCATTTATTTCTTAGTTTTATCAACAACTTTGTAAGTATCCAAAGTCCCTAACCACCACAACTTATTGTTTTTCAATAATTTAGTTTTGAGTGTAGCACCTCCGCAATTGTAAACCAAAATCTCCAAGGGTCACCTCCCCGTGACCCAAGAAGCAATAATTTACTCTTGAGCGTAGCACCTCCAAAAATGTAAACCGAAATCTCCATATGCACCTCCGTAATCGTAGTTTGAGGTTTTTTTTAAGAAAAATACCCCCTCCGCAAGTTGCATCTTTGACACTTGCGGAAGTGTTGGTTTTCTTGAAAAAGTGGGAAAAGAATGACTAAGAGGTAAAAATGGTCGGTCAAAATGACTACTTTTGTTAATTTCCCTTAAAAGATCTTTGTTTGGTTAGTCGTAGATAGGTGAAAACTTGACTGATACTGAGCAACTAATTCATTCCTCATCCTTTGACCCTAATTAATACCTCTATATCTGACTCTACCGTCGAATCTGGGAGGAATGAATATTGTTCAAGAACTTGTTTGGTAAAAATCAGAGAATTTTAAAATTTAAATTGTTGTGCATTTGTTGACTAATATTGAAAATCAAATATATTTAACATATGATATATATATATATATATATATATATATATATATATATATATATATATATATATATA